GACTAGAGAAGACGGGAACATGCCACAGCGTACGGAGGAAGGTGATGACAGGCTGGGAAGGAACACTCAGCACCCTGAAGAAGCAAGCTGGAGAGGTTCTTTTCAGACAGGTGGGGGATCAGGAAGGGGTTCCTTGCGGAAGCAGCATTTATTTGTCTGGGAAAATGGGTAGCATTAACCCATGGAGTTAACAAAGTATGAGGCAGAAGAAACAGCAAAAGCACAAACAGGAGAAAGCAGAAAGCAACTTCACACTACATGACTTAGGTCAGTTTGGCTGACTGTAGGGTGAGGAAGAGAGAGTGGGAGCTGAGGTTGGCCTGGCTGTCTGCTGTCAGGCATTGGATAGTTGTGACCATCAGTGGTTCACGGGCTCCTCTGAGAGCATTCCACATCCTTTGTGGGGCAGGTGTTCAGCAAACCACTGTGGGCTTGATGATGGGCGTGATGATGATGCACAGGTGTGAGAGCTTGCATGGTCTAGGAGGGGGAACCCCCAGGAGCTCTAAGCACTGCCAAAGCCAGCTCAGCTTCCCAGCATCCTTCAGAAGGAGAAGTCAGTCCCAAGCCCCCACCTGATGGCTGCAGGACCAAGGCCACACCGCATACCCAAGAGAAAGCCCCCAGTGCCACTCTGCTGCTCCACCTGCTGTCCCCACAACTGACTGTGACCTGATTTAACCTTAGCATCCCCCCACTCTCCTACCCCCATGGAGACCAAGGCTCTGGAAGGCAGAGTCATCCTGGGCAAGGGGCAGCCCCTGCCCTTGTGAGCAAAGAAACCTGGGGCTCTGCAGCTGCCCGACAGAGTTGTGGGACCAGAAGTCCACCCATGCGGAGAGCGGCAAGCCTCCTGCCATGCTGAGAGCGGTCTCTGACTCAAAATGTGGGGAGGGGCCCAGAGACCCCATTGAAGTGGCCCTACAGTAACTGTCTCCAGAGACTCTTACCTCCTGGTTCTCCTGCCAGAGAGTCCCTCAGACTCTACCGCCATCCCTGGTTTCCCATCCAATTGAGGGTCTCCCAGCTGGGGACTTTCTCCACCACTGCTGGGCTCAGACCTTCAGGTCCAAGATGTGGTCCCTACATTCTTCTGGCTCCTGGGGAATTACGGTAAGGAGTACAAGGGTAGCCTTCTTTCCTCTTGACTTCTCCCTCTTGTGGTGAGTCCAGTGCTGAGTGTCAGGGTACTCAATCCAGGGCCCAGCTCATCTTGACTCTCTCCTGGACAGCTGCCCCTCCCTGGGCCTCCAGCTCTCCTTCCTGGTGCATGGGAGTTGAAGACTTAAATGTGCAAATGCATCACTTGGGCCACTCAATACAAACACAGGAATTTTGAGCCTCCCAGTCTTGGTCACACCCAGGAGCATACAGGTCTACAATCCCTCCAGGGATACTGAGCAGGTTATCTGGACCACATCTTGAGACACATATTTGAAAGACAAATCGTTGAAAGACAGGCTTTGTTTTCAGATGGCTTGAGGGGATCAGAAGCAATCTGAGAGCATGGCAAAAACAAGTCTTTCCTGGAACACCTCCACTATGACTATCGTTCTCTCCAGACAAGCGTCACTCATTCCCATGACTAGTCCCACCTTCCCGAAGGAAGAATACCGAGTCCTGGAGGAATGGTCCCTAGCTCAAGAAGCACAGGCTGTGTCTGTTGGGGTTGAAATGGCTCCCATAGCTTCCTTCTAGAATTCTCCTGTTGTAAAGGCTGGTCTACATCACCATGATGCTGCCTGCAGGGTAAAAAGCCCAGGCCACCCAGCAAGGTGCCAGCTGAATTGCCAACTCTGCTAGTGTGGCCAGTGGACTTCACCTGACCTTATCCAGCCCAACCTTTATCCAGCCCTGAGGCAGGCATTGCCTGGAATGTCATTTCAAGCTGTCCTGGAAGCACTGTCTTCTGGGAAGAGAGCGCCAGCTCACTGACACCCTGGGTGAGAGCTCCCTCTCCTTGCTCCCATAGCTCCTGCCTTCCCCTGTAGCTTTTATCATGTGGTATCACAGTTGCTGCTGATTGGTCCATCTCCTCTGCTAGAATATTCGTTCTTGAGGGCAGGGACCATTTCTGTTTTGTTTACATTTGTGTCATCCCCCCTAGCAAAGTGTTTGGCATGTAGCAGGCACTCAGAAAATGTTTATTAATAACAGTAATAACATATTGATTAAGCATTTGGAAAGGGCCAGATGCTTTGCGATCAGGCTTCACAAAAAAAATCCTTTAGGGCTATGAGTACCCCATTTAACAGGTAAAGAAATCAAGGCTGAGAGATGAAATAACTTATTCAAGAGCTTGGCCGGGCACGGTGGCTCACGCCTGTAATCCCAGCACTTTGGGAGGCTGAGGCGAGCGGATCACAAGGTCAGGAGATCCAGACCATCCTGGCTAACACGGTGAAACCCCGTCTCTACTAAAAATACAAAAAAATTAGCCAGATGTGGTGGCGGGCGCCTGTAGTCCCAGCTACTCGGGAGGCTGAGGCAGGAGAATGGCGTGAACCCCGGAGGTAAAGCTTGCAGTGAGTGGAGATTGCGCCACTATACTCCAGCCTAGGCGACAGAGTGAGACTCCCTCTCAAAAAAAAAAAAAAAAAAAAAGAGCTCACAGCTGATAAATGGCAGAGTAGTGAGGGATCCAGCTGACTGGGTATTTTTTAAAAATTTAGTTGAATTTTTATTTATTTGTAGAGATAGGGTCTCGCTATGTTGCCCAGACTGGTCTTGAACTCCTGGGTTCAAAGGACTCTCCCAACTCAGCCTCCTGAATAGCTGGGACTACAGGTGTGAGCCTCTGCATCTGGCTTGAATGGGTCTTTAGAGTCCACGCCCCTCGTACACTCTTCTCCACGCTTCACAGGGCTGAATTCAGCAGGAGAAGGTGTCCTCAGATGGCTCTGGAGCCTCAGTCCAGGTCAGCTACTCAGACAGCCCAGCTGCCAGGCCAGGAGAGAGTAGGCCCTCCCCTGCTCCATCTCCAGGTCTTTCCTAAGTGCCTGGCAGTGAAGACCTCTTCCCATTAGAGAAGCTGGCTGGGTCGCCCCCTCCTTCTGGAGGAGCACTGACTCAGACCATCACAGGGACACACAAATACCAAACACACTGAGAACATTGTTGGCAATGAAATTACAGACGTTATAAATGCCAGCCTTTCCCTTCCAGGTTTCCTTTCCTGTTCCCTGGTGGGAGAGGACCACACCCCATGCAGTGCTGGGAGACATCCCCTGCAGGCCTTGGGGTGCTGGAGCCCTGGGAGGACAGTCATATTGTCCAGGCTGTTTCTCCCAGCTGCAAATGGAGCCAGCCTTCCTGAGGGGCCAGGGGGAAGAGCCCTTATAAAAACTGAAGCCAAGTCACAGAGGCCCAGGGATCCAGGAACTGCTCCCTGCTGTACAAATGGGAGTCTGGCCCCGGTGCAGAAGTCCCTCCTGCCGCCCCGCCCATAGGCTTTTGGGGGACTCTCCTGCCAGTGACTCAACTGTTAATACCGAGCCTGGGGCTTTTGCTGATTCCTCCGGGGGCTGGCTAAAGGCTGACAGCCTTAGCTCCCAAGAAAATAACTGGGTGGCACAGAAAATGGCCTTTGGGAGAGGTAGGTTTGGAGGAGAGAAGGCAAGAGGAGAGAGCCTGGCTCAGGAGGAACAAGAACCAGAGCCCTCCAAGGCTGAGAGTGAAAATAGAGGGAGAGTGGAAATGGGGCTCAGTGCGCCAGGAGGGAGCCCTGAGTAGGCGGTGGGTGGTGGGCTGTGCTCCCTGAGAAGATGGAGGGATGGATGGGGGGATGGAGACTGCAGCCAGGGTCTTTTACAGTGACTTGCCTCCCAAGCCCAGACCAAGCTGGACATTGTAGCCAAGGCGTATTCTCTGCAGCCAGCGAGGGCTTTGCTCCAGGCTCTTCAGGCCCAGTGGTCAGAAGTTCTGGGTAACTCCAGATCAGCAGCCCTACGGCAAAGTGGGGCTGAGGGCAGAAATGGCTGCGTCCAGGAGAAGCTAGTGGTGTGCTGGCCTGCCGACCGCAGTTCATATGTGTGTTGAAGCAGCGTTTATTTTTACCTGGGTAGGTTCAGCTTCTGATCACAGATATGGTGGGGGTTTTCCATTGGTTTCCATGGGAACATTAGGCAGAGCATCTGCTACCCAATCAAGCAAAGCTGGTCTGGTAAGACTCTTTTCAGAATTATTTTGCTGTTTTTACCCAGGAAGTGTGTCCTGCCTGAATTTGTACCACTGCTTGTGTGGTAGAGCAGGGGAGGGCAGCTCCAAGGGGACAGGGCTGGCTCTCAGGGAAGGAGAGAGGGCTGGCTAAAGGCAAGCATGGCGGCAGGGCCATACCTATTTGGAGAAGCAATTTGCTTTCCATTTCTTTCTTTTTTTTTTTTTTTTTTTTGAGACGGAGTCTTGCTCTGTCCTCCAAGCTGGAGTGCAGTGGCGCGATCTCCACTCACTGCAAACTCCGCCCCCTGGGTTCACGCCATTCTCCCGCCTCAGCCTCCTGAGTAGCTGGGACTACAGGCGCCCGCCACTGCGCCCGGCTAATTTTTTGTATTTTTTTAGTAGAGACGGGGTTTCACAGCGTTAGCCAGGATGGTCTCGATCTGGACTCTTTCCCCAGGAAAATGCATGTATGCACGGATTACAGGCGTGAGCCACCGTGCCTGGCCTTGCTTTCCATTTCTAAGCCCCAAGTAGGATCCTGTGATGAGGCCACAGGAGCCTGGACTCTGCCCGACCTGAGCTGGTTCCTGGTTTTGGTCCAAGGCCTGCCCTTGCAGTAGGGCCACCTGTTGGCCCCCACCAACAGGAGCAGTCAGGAGTTCCTGGGGCACCACAGGGCATGGAGGCCGACGAGCAAGCTACCAGGTGCAGCAGAGGGCTAGACTTGAGCACGTGCAGTTTCACTTTTACAGAAAGGAGGCCCTGACTTCCCCCACGAGGCGGCGGAGGGTGGTGCTGAAGGGCTAGGCCTGGAGGCAGAAAGGAAGGCGCTGGTGCGTGTGGACATGTAAGAAGTGGTTTTATTCCAGGTGTGTGTTTCATAAAGGCGAGGTCCTCAAGGACAGCTAGTGGCACATGCTTTGGTCAAGAAGAGGAAAAGCAAAAACAGAATAGGGCTGAGTTGCCACAAGGGACTGACTGATAAGTGCAGAGCCTGATGTGACCACAGCAAAGGAGAGACCCTTTTGAAGGCCCCCTGGCCAGCAGTCCTCTTATATTCAAGAGGAGAAGCCCCCGCTCCCCAGCCCCAAAGGTCCATGCCCGAGTGTGGCCCAGGCCTTCTAGTCCATCCTCTGGGGAGAGGCCTTTGCCCTGGGCCCGGTTCTGTCCTAAGCTGTGGCTGGAGGCTTCCCAGATGAACAGGGGATCTGAGGCTGCACCTGGCTGTGGAAGAAACATCACAACAGAGGACGGGCAAAGCGTGGCCCTGGGGGCGAAGGGCCCTGCACTGGCAAGTCCAGGGGTGTGCACTTGGGCATGGGAGCGCTGCTGAGAGGACGCTGGTGAGAGTCAGGAGGCGAAACTGCTGGAGAGCCCTCCAGAGCAGGTGCTGCGGACCACACACACTCGGCTGCCGACCCCAAGGGCTGCGTGGAGGGAGCAGGCGATGGCAGTTTGAGCACACCAGGGAGGAAGATTAGGGGGTGGCAGCTTGGGCAGGCAGTGGCTTCAATCCAGAGCAGAGGTTCAGGCCCTTTGGGGATCAGGGACCTCTTTTAGAAGCCATGGACTCTTTCCCCAGGAAAATGCATGTATGCACACACATGCAGTATTTTAGGGACAATTTCAGGAGATTCCTAGACCTTCTGGAATCCATGAACTCTACAGGTGTGTGGATCCTCGGCCTATGAAAGACAGGGGGCTCCTGTGGTAGGTATATCTGCCCTAGGCTGGTCTGCTTTGTAGGGGAGACCCCCAGGGTCCTGGTACCAACAATCCTTTGCCCAAGAGCCAGTGGGGCAAGGGAAGCAGGGCGCAGGGATAGCAGGAGCAGTTCCAAGACTAGGCCATGGGGTAGATGTGTGAATGTGTTCTCAGCGGCTGTGAAAAGGAACTGGGAGTTCTCTACACAAACAGGAGCCACAGCCAGGCTCCCAGCCCAGTGCAATAGCTGACACTTCAAGAAAATCCCTCCTGTAGCGGGGAGGGGAATAAGGGTGATGTTGAGCCCTAATGACTTAGGGGCTGTTCATGGTCCAGAAAGGAGGTTCCCTTCTTTCCAACCACCCTGACCCATGATTGACAGAGGCCAAAACCTTTGAGAAAGCAGGAGTCAAAAATGACAAACAAGGCTGGGGCTACTCGGGGGTGTGTGTGGCTACCCGTCCTTTCAGTGGGTCCTGCCCGCAGGGACAGGGCACTAGCTATTCCAAGAGAGAGGTCTCAGCCTGACACATGGCCAAACAGAAGCGGAGTCTGTTTAATAAACTATGCCCGAATCTTCCCCTAGAGATCCCTCTGCAGCCTTTTGCTAAGAATGTGGGCACCCTCAGGCACAGGACCAGAGGCACAGTGCCGGGCTCAGACCCCGGGGCTGGTAAAGTGTGGAAGGGACTGCGTCCTGGGTAAGAGAACTTGTTCTTTTGGTGCTTTGCTGCTCTTCTATCCATGTTCATTTGCAAATTACCCATCCTTTGCTGCCAAGATACCATCCGTCCCCACCCAACCCAGTGCCACCCTGGGCTTGGCATCACTGACAGGTCACCAGGCTTCTCACCTCCTTCCTGTTCTTTACCTGCTCCTGCAGGCTGCCCCTCTCCCTTCAGCCTCTCCATCCACACTGCCCAATTCCCCCGGCCCTGCCTGCCCACACAGCTGGGCCTCATGACCCAACAGACCCCTGTGTGGGCTTCTGTCCTTGCTCTCTCCAGGCAACAAGGGGAGAGACCACACACTATTGTCCTGGCCCCAAGAAGCGCCAAGGGAGAGGACAAAGAGCCAGGGGCACCTACTCAGTCTCTACCCAGCAACAGTCCAGCACCCTGACCATCTCCTCTCCCGGGGCACGGCCAGGACAGCGCTGAGGGCATCGGGGCGTGCCCGCCTGCGCCCTCCTGGAACAAGCTTTGGAGAACGTGTGTTGTGGTGGGTATTTGCTGATGGTCCCGGCGGAAATGTGGGAGATGGGAACAGCCTGCTTTGCACTCCCCCACCCTAACCCCCTTCCGGTCCCAAAGTCTCATGCAAAAGGTACAGGAGGCCCCGGGGCTACCGTCATGTGTGTGGCAACAGCTGCCACTGCTGGGCCTGGGCGTCAGCCTGACACTTGCTGGTCACCAGCTGGGCAGGCTTCGTCTCCAGGCAGAGGCCACTGACTGAATGCTGGATGAAAGATCCTTTTCTCCTCCATTTCTAGGAGGAACGGAGATGGGTTAAGAGAGGAAGGAAAAAACAATGATTTAAAAAAATAATGTTGTACTTTCATTTCACATGCATGTACTCAACCCTTGTATATAACTAGGACATATCCCCTTCCTTTTTTTTTTTAGGCATGATCTTGTTCTTGCAGTGGTGCCACCATAGCTCACTGCAGCCTCGAACTCCTGGGCTCAAGCAATCCTCTTGCCTCAGTCTCTGAGTAGCTAGGACGATACATGCACACCACCATACCCAGCTAATTTTTAATTTTTTGCAGAGACCGGGTCTCGCTATGTTGCCCAGGCTGGTCTAGATAGATCCACCTGTCTTGGCCTTCCAAAGCACTGGGATTACAGGCATGAGCTACCATGCCCAGTCATGCCCCTCATTTAAATCAGGCTGTGTATTCCTACGTAAGAGGCTGCCCCCATCCTACCCTAACACCAGCTTTAAGCCCTGCCCTTCCCAGCAGGGGTCTTGCTTCTGTAGTTTGCAGAAGTTCCTGTCCAGATCAGAGGAGGCAAAGCAGAAGTCCCCTGTGTTTATTTACAATTTAGCTTGGTTGCCACATGCAAATCTGCATTTCTAGCTTCTGTGTAGTTATTGGGCCCAGTTTCTTACATGGCATCAGTTGCTGGGGCTGAGGATTTGCCCTCTGCTTTAGATGGGCTCTTGTTCTTCAGGTCACCATAGATCCTGCCTGGTCCCGACTTTTCTCCTATTGGGGTTTTCCCGCCAGCTCCCTGTAGGCACTCGAGCTTGTCAGTCCTGGCCTAGGTAAATCTTTTACTTCTGCAAACATGATTTCTTCTTCCTACAGTCCTAAGCTTCTGACCTGTGAGGCCAGTTATCTACACCCCCTAGTGGGAAGCTGCCTTCTTTGTAGGGATGAAGTGTGGGGCCAGCAGGGTGGTGGGAGACTGGACGTCTCGCATCAGAGTCATGCAGGGGCTCCTGGTCAGTGCCTTCACCTCCTGGTGCCTCCCCGTCCCCGGGTTTGACAAGGGGGAGAAGAGTTGCTCCTATAGAACATTAGGGAAGTGCCTGGGTGGAGGATGGAGTATTGCTTGGAACATTTATGAGAAGGGATGAGAGGCAGAGACCTAGGTTTCAAGGCTCAGGGAAAAATAATAGTAAGATAGGTCCATTTTGGGTTTCTCTCCTATTTGCCTCCCATGCAACCACCTCCCCTCTTCCTTCTCCTCTCATTCACTGTGTCTTTGATTAGAGGCAGGAGTGCTCGTGACCATGTGGAGGGAGCCCAGAGGGCTCTGAGGGCAGTGGGTGGACAGGGAGCAGCTGGGGGGAGAGAGATGAACCCACCTGGCTGCAGGGATAGGGCTAGGGCTGCAGGGATAGGGCTAGGGCTGCAGGGATAGGGCTAGGGCTGCAGGGATAGGGCTAGGGCTGCAGGGATAGGGCTAGGGCTGTAGGGATAGGGCTAGGGCTGCAGGGACAGGGCTAGGGCTGCAGGGATAGGGCTAGGGCTGCAGGGGGTTGTGCATATAGGGTGGAAGGCAGGTGCGGAGCCTGGGCTCCCAGTGGGAATGCAGGGATGTGAGGGGTAGGGCCAAGACTCAGCCTCTCTGGGCCCACATGGTCTCCGCAGGAAGCCTAAAGGTCAAGGGCCTTTGGATCCCCCCTCCTATTTCTTCACGCTCTTCTAGTCCTTGACATTTACCTCACGTAGGCCAAACCTCCAGCAACGCCCAGCTGGAGAGAGTATGGCCATCCTCACCCCAGGGAGTCTTGGTGCTTAGTGCCACCTCAGCATCTAGCCTTCTGTAATATAGTGGCTCACTCCCTTCTTTCTCTTCCACTAAAGTGCAAATTCCCTGGGGGTCAAGGACCATGTCCTTTCATCCTTGTGGCCAATATGATCTGTACATTCTCTGGTACAAGGTAGGCACCCAACGTCATTTTGTTTTTGTTTGTTTGTTTGTTTGAGACCAAGTCTTGCTCTGTCGCCCAGGCTGGAGGGCAGTGACACAATCTCGGCTCGCTGCAAGCTCCGCCTCCTGGGTTCAAGCGATTCTCCTGCCTCAGCCTCCTGAGTAGCTGGGATTACAGATGCATGCTACCACGCCCGGCTAATTTTTGTGTTTTTAGTAGAGACGGGGTTTCACCATTTTGGTCAGGCTGGTCTTGAACTCCTGACCTCATGATCTGCCCACCTGAGCCTCCCAAAGTGCTGGGATTACAGGTGTGAGCCACTGCACCTGGCTGTCATTTTGTTTTAAGATGAATGAATGACTGAATCACCCAATCATTAGGAAGTGCTCCCTAAACAGCAGGATTCTCATTCTCACTTACTATCAGTGCTATTAGGCACAATCTGAGGGTTTCCTGACTCTCCAGGCCGCTCAATTCTGGGCTTGTCTGAGAAACAATATCACATCACCCACTGTCCCATCTCCACATCTTGGTTCTTACAGATTCGTTGTGAGGTAGGCAGGGGAGGGAGCCTCTTATTTTGTAAGTGAGGAGACTGAGTGAAGGGAGGGGGAGGGAAGACTGAGCTGGGGCCTGCTGCTCCATCACACCAGGTCTGAGGTACAGGAGCCTCTCGGATACAGGAAACCCAGCTAGCCTTGGAAACAGGACCAGCAGGGGACCAAGAAGGACGGCCGGATTCCAGAAGGCATTGGCAGTGGGATAGCTGCTCATCCTGGCCTCCTGGGAGAAGAGGGGCACAGGTACCCAGAGTGCCATCAGGAGCCTGGCAGGACTTGCAGGGGCAGAATGAATGGGGCCAGGGAGATTCCTACACACCCCATAGGCTGCGTCACCACAAGGGGGGAAATGGGTGATTCAGCCCCAGAGGGGCAATTGAGTGGAGGTTTGCTCGGAGATAATTCCTCAGTGGGAGAGGGTGGGCGTGGGCTCAAGGATTTGCCCTCAGAGAGGTGGGTGCTCTAGATGCAGGGGACACTGCAACGGCCCCACTGCAGGGCAGGGCCAAGGGTGGACTGCATCCCCCCACCATCCAAATGTGCTTCAAGTGTCCCACAGGTCCAGCAAGTGGGCTAGGCACACAGATCCCTCAGACACACACAGGCTGGAGGGAGAGGATGTGGCTGCTTTCCAGAATGGCACAGCAAACTGCTGTTCATCCTTTAAAAAACGTGCCGACTCAAGCAAAGAACAGGGGGGTAGGTGGAAAACCCTGCAGGCCAAATCAGAGAGGGAGCACCGTCCTCACTGCCTGCACCGACGGAGGCGGGCACAGGGAGGGCTTCCGAGGAGCGTGAGCAGGGGAAGCGCTGGAGCAGCCTCTGAGCCTTGGGTCCCATTCCCTGGGTGGCAAGGGAGCCCTCCAAGACAGGAAGGGAGCAGCACAGAAGGAAGCTGGCTGGCTCTGGAAATCCAGCCTTTGGTTCCACTGTCACTGGTTGCTGTGTACCCTGAGCGAGTGACTTCAATTCTCTGTGCATCAGTTTCTTCCCTGACCCTGACCTGTCTCCCAGCATTAGTGGTGACAGTGTGGGTGAGAGTATCGGACGAATGGAAAAGGCAGTGCTCACGTGAGGCTGGTCATGCCAGCTTGGACATCACTGTGTCTGGATCTCAGTTTCACTAGTCTGCCAGCAGTCAAGAAATACTTATTGAACATCTACTATGTGCTGGGTTAAGACTATGTGCCTAGAAGTCACACTGACCTGGGTTTGAATCCCAGCTCCACCCCTTCTCAGCAGTGTGATCCGACTTATATTCTTTAGATTCAGTGAGCCTCAACTTACTCACGTATAAAATGGAGGTAGTACTAGAACCCACGTCACTGGGTGGCTGGGAGGATTAGATGAGATGATCTATTTCAAATTTCTAGCACAGGCTGTCAGTAAAAGCTAACACTTATTTGAACTGTGGTGGTTGTCAGGAGCCAGGCATACAGTGTGAACAAGACAAGTGGTCCCTGCCTTCATGGAGCTCACAGCCTGGCAGGATGGCATTAAACGAATAAATACCCAAAGAAGTATTTCCTCATGGGCAGAATAATTGGCTTGACCTAGACGCTGACTTTGCTCCCCTCCCCGCAGATCCTCCTCTGAAGGGCTTATTTGAGTCAACCAGGGGCTCCCCTGCCAAGGTCTGCCACCCTGAAGCCCGGTCCCCTGGGGCTGCTGGGCCTCTGTGCTGCAGGCAAGGAGACTCACCTGCTTGCCTTCTCTAGGGTTGCACATCTGCAGTATGACCGGGGATCCGGGGGAAGACATTAAGGTGGAGGTGGCAGCCAGGCACTTCCCCTGCTGCTGGATAAGGTGGTCACTGAACAGCCATGCCTGCAAGGCAGGGAGCAGAAAGGCCAAGTCAAAAAGTACAGCGAAGGGTGGGGAGATGGGTAGATAGGGAATAAATCAAACACATGGCATATTTTTGTAAGATTTCTACAAATAATTATAGGAGCTAGGGTGGTTGTATGGGTATTCACTGTACAATTCTTATTATTTTTCTATATGTTTGAATTTTTTGATAAAATATTGGGTTGGGGGAGCTTAGCTGGAGCTGGCCAGAGGGCAATCAGGGCTGTGCCAAGGGACTGCGGGGGATGAGAGAGAATGACAAGACATGGAACCAGGGCAGCCGAGGGCTGCTCCTCACTGGAGTCTCCATGACCTGCTTTAGTTTCGATGTGGGTGCAACACTCATATGTTGGACCCATGTGTGCACAGAAATCTTGAACATTGCTTGTCGCATGAGCTGAACCCAGCTAGCTCTCAGGAGAGAACTGGGCACTATCTGGGCAGCACTTCTCCCTCGGCAAGCACAAAGCAGGTGGTGCACACGAGTGACAGGCTGGAAAGGGGATACGAATGTGTAGGACCAGAGTCTAGGGGCCCCTGGCAAAGTGGGTTTGTGTAAGGTGTAGACAGGGGAGAATGAGTAGGGGGAAGTCCCTCACCCCACGCCTGGGCAATGTCCCCAGCTCTCTGCCACTCCCATTCCTACCTGAGGTCCTAAGCAGCTTACCTGGGCGGGCTGGGGGTTCTTGGCAGACCCTCTGCAGATCCCCATTCCAAGCAGGAAGTCACCAGCTGTGTTCTGGCCCTGAGATTCTAAGCAGTTCGGCCCCTGCTTAATGATGCCAGGGAGTGCTTCCTTCACAGGGATCCTGAGAGAAAAGACAGCAGTCAGGCTTGTTCTCTGCGCCCCGAGGCTTACCTTCACCCTCCGCCAGACGCCAGCATCCCATCAGCTCCGGGAGCGCCGAGGTGTCTGCGGGAAGGGGCCTGGGAGCAGCCTGGCCAGCAGGGGAGGGGAGGAGCAGGAGTGGCCTCTGGGAAGGCTGGGCCTGGGCCCCAGGAATTCTTCCAAGTGGCTCTGGGAACCTCTGCCCTGGAGGCTGGGCCTGAGACAGAGGATGGGGGAGCCATGGGTGGAGCTCAGGCTGGAAAACCAGAGCCCCTCAGTCCAGAAAGAGGAAAGCCTCAGGAGAGCCTGGGGCCAAAATGTATGCTCAATAATCAGTCCCAAAATGACAGGGAAGGGGGCGCTTCGAAGAGGCAAATTAAACACAAATATGAAAATGTGTTTAATCTCAGTCATGATTAAAGAGCTACATATCAGAGTCACCAATGTTTATTTACCATGCATGTACATTTGTACACACACACACACACACACACACACACTCTCTTAATGACAATGCCCAGTGTTGGAAACAGCTGTGAGATTGAATCTTCTCACACCTTCCTGGTAAGAGTGTTGATTAGCACAGCTTCTCAGGAGGGCAGTGTGCTATTACGTCTCAGAGTCCTTAAAATGCAAACACCTTGGACCAATATTGCCCCTTGTAGAAACATATCCTACAGAAATAATTATAAATGTTGTAAAAGATATTCAACTCAGAGTGATTGATTATATTGAAAACACCAGAAATTTCTAGATATCTAGCAACAGGAGCTGGGCTAAATAAATTTGGATTCATCCATAGGATGGAAAACCCTGTAGCCATTAAAAATGACTTATGGCTGGGCATGGTGGCTCACACCTGTAATCCCAGCACTTTGGAAGGCCAAAGCAGGAGGATCACTTGAGGCCAGGAGTTCAAGACCAACCTGGGCAATACAGAAAGACCCCATCTCTACAAAAGTAAAAAAAAAAGTATCCAGGCACAGTGGCACATGCCTGTAGTCCCAAGTACTTGTGGGGCTAAGGTTGGAGGGTCACTTGAGCACAGGTGGTTGACGCTGCAGTGAGCCGTAACGCCACCACTGCACTTCAGTCTGGGCTTCAGAGTGAGACCCTGTCTCAAAGTACATAAATAAAATACAATTTTAAAAAATGACTTTGTGAAATAATACTTGCCAGTATGTAAAAATGTTCACAGCACACTATTAAGTAAAACAGGCAAGTTTTAAAACATTATAATTATTATTTTTTATTTATTTATTTTTAGATGGAGTCTCGTTCTGTCACCCAGGCTGGAGTGCAGTGGCACGATCTCAGCTTACTGCAAGCTCCGCCTTCCAGGTTCACACCATTCTCCTGCCTCAGCCTCCTGAGTAGCTGGGACTACAGGCGCCCGCCACCACGCCTGGCTAATTTTTTTGTATTTTTAGTAGAGATGGGGTTTCACTGTGTTAGCCGGGATGGTCTCAATCTCCTGACCTTGTGATCCACCCGCCTCGGCCTCCCAAAGTGCTGGGATTACAGGCATGAGCCACTGCACCCGGCCAAAATACTATATTATTAAAACATTGGTTTTAATAATATAAATCCGGCCATCCTTCTTGGTCCCCTGCTGGTCCTGTTTCCAAGGCAAGCTGAGTTTCCTGTATCCAAGAGGCTCCTGTGTCTCAGACCTGGTGTGATGGAGTCAGCAGGCCCCAGCTCAGTCTTTCCTCCCTCTTCCTTCACTCAGTCTCCTCACTTATAAAATAAGGGGCTCCCTCCCCTGCCTGCCTCACATATGCACAGGAAAATATGCTTACACACACACACACACACACACACACACACACACACACACCCCCCTTATAGGTAATAAACCTGAGGACGCTGCTGGCCCCAGCTGCTGCAGGCTTGCATACCTGAGTTCAGGTTATGTTCGTTCTTGGATTAAGGACTCACCAGGCCTGGGAGTTATGGGAAAGCAGGAGGGGTTACAGTCTAACTGTGTGCCTTCTCTGCCTCCTGTTACCTCTGTCGGTGAAATAATCTGGGCCTGGGGGGTTGGGCCATTATAATATGTTTGGCATTCTTTGATGTGGACATCTGTAGGATCTAGACCGAACCAGGTCTTCCTTCCTCAGGGCTGGCTAGAGGCCGCAAAGCTCCAGAACTGATCTGCTCACAAAAGGCTCAGAGAGACCCTTTCGATTCCTCTCCTACACCCCTGGCAGCAGCCTGTGCCTCTCCAGACTCCCTTTGGGAGGCCGTGCAACTTTCTAGCAGAGGTGGCAAACCACCGACTGCCAAGCTGAACCTGGACCCTGGACATGGTCTGGCCTGCATAGCGTGGTGGTTGTTGCTTTTAATTAGTTGGCAATATTGAATGATTTTAAGGTTACATAGAAACCTTCAAATCTGAATCTAGCTTCTCTTGAGAAAAATGGAAGATCAGGCCACAAGGAGCTTGCATTCCAGCATGGCACTAATCCGCCGCGGTGAGTAGCCGCTGCCCCTCTGAGTGGGGCTTTTGCATCACAGTTTGCCACAGTCCCCACAACTCTCCATTGTCTTATCCCTACCCATTTGACTTATTGACATCACCTGCCTGACCACTGTAAGAATTTGAGTTCGCAAACCCTGCCACGTGCAAGCATGTTGAAGGGCAGGAGCTCCACACTCTCGGCCTCATCTAGGAGCAATGTGTTACATTTCCCTTCTCTGTAGCGACAAGACGGGTACTGAGACCTCTTTTATAACTGCTCAGGGGGAATACAGCACGAGGGCCAGGGGTTGTTCCAGACCCTGCTACTCCCATGTTGCTTAGGGTGTTGTGCAAGCTGATCAGCTTTCAGAGGTGAGGTGGACACTGACCAAGGTTGGTAATGCCCAGTGATGCTTACGGAAGAAACCCTAGGCTTGGGAACAATCTCAAGATCAGACGCAGCTCCTAAGCTGTCACTGTGGCAGCAGTTGTGGAACAGCTGGGATAGCAGTCATCGCCACCCTTCTCCAGCTTCCCGGCAGTGCCAGGCTAAGCTGTCCTGTTTATCAGCAGACCTCTAAACTCTGCATCCACTTTCTTCTCTATGGGTCTCTTCCGTGTACACAGGCTGCCATTAGGTCCATTCCCCAAGACACTACTTCTTTCTGTTTGACAGAAAATTGACATACTGGTTTTGTTAGAAGAAGAATGCTTACTGCCATTTGCTTGGAATTACTGTCATGGACATGCCATGTTTACTATGCAATTAGCACCCTCACAAACATGATGTGCTTGTGCAATGCACAGCCTGAACAACAGTTCCTGACAGTCGTAATGCAAGTAATAAATTAGCAGTTGCTGAGGCCAGCTGCAGAGCTCTAACCTGGAGAAGGGGCAGAGCCATGGCAGGCGTAGGAGAGCAAAAGCCTCTTCTTTCAGCCTCCTCAGTCTTCCCACTGACTGTTTAGGCAACTATGTAGGGACCCCCTATTTGGAGGAAAGTTGGTATCACTCAGGCCTATGGGTCCCCTTTCTAATCAACAAATTGATCCACTCCTGGCCCCTCACCCTGGGAACTGGGGGTGAGTAATCCAGATAGGAATGAGGTCTGGGGTTTCCATTTTAGCGACAAAAAATGATTTTAACTTTCACACAGTGGCAGAACAAACAGAAGACGACTTCTGCTCCTCATCGGCGTAGCTGGTTCATCTACTCTCCCGCCTTGTGATCGAGCCAGGTTTCTGAGAGTTATGAGACATTTCTTCCCCTTGGTCCTTGGGGGTGTCATCAGACCCTGTGGCAGGGCACTGGGGTAGGAGAGCAACGGCATTCCCAGGCCTCCCCCACTCTTCCCACAGGCTGCCCAGCTCATGCCCTAGGACTGGAACTAGTGGGCTTCACCCAAATGTTGTATGAACGCTGACACAGCATAAAGAAGTGACTGCTCTTTTTTCTTCAGCGCCTCAGAAATGATGCATCTGAATGAGCACTGTCCCCTACAAGTGATCACTTCAGGAAGTTGCATTTTCATAAATTAATGTTCTTCCCATCACAGCTAGTGTCCAGGGAACTGGGGTTATCTAGGCCACTGACTTTCTCCCAGTGACACTGCCATTGCTCACATTGTTCTGGAACTTCTTGGAAATTGCTCTCAGGGTCAGTTTAATCTCGCTCCTTTACAGTCATGCTGTATTTGGGACCTGGGATTATAATTATCTGGGTTAATCATCTAGCTTATTCACTGCACTTGGCTACAACTTAATGGTGGCTGTTGGCCAAAGATCAAACCTGTCCTCAAAGGGACAAAGATTTGCCTCTTTCAAGGGTATGCAAGCTCTGAGGGGTGAAGTGTTCCGGAAAGCCACGGTAGCGTCCTTGAGAGAAAGCTGGCAGTGGCGGGAAACGTGTTCCCCAAGGTGACAGCTATAGAGGGAGCATGTGGCTTTTATACATGATTGAGGTGTACGGACTGTGCAATTTATTCCATTAAAAATATTTACTGAGTGCCCATTTTATGACAGGCACTGTTCCAGGTGCTGGAGATAAAGCAGTGAACAAGCAGATCAAAGCCTCCGCCCTCATGGAACTTACAGGCAAGTTCAGGGAGATACAACAAAATTAATTGACCAGATAATGCCGATGATAATAACGGCTACAAGGAACATGAAGAAGACGATGCTGCGGAGGGAGGTGGAGCTGCAAACTCAGAGTGTTCAGGGAAAGTCTCCCTGGGAAGAGGACGTTTGAGTCAAGACCTGAGGAAGGTAAGGAAACGAACCACGTGGATGTAACCAAGACACTGAAAAGGCCATCGTAGCTTATTGCCCACAGTCCTGTGAGAGTGGACACATATTCCTGGGTAAGTACAGCCTGAGTGCACATACGATTTGCATTTTGTTTTCTCATTTGCCAGAGCAAACATTTCCCTGTGTTTTCTTCACAGTTTCTATGATTATAATATTAATTGGTGCATAATATTTGTTTAGATCTATGTATGGTGATTCACTGAACCCAACCCCTATTGTTGATTCTCTCTCTTTCTTTTCTTTTTCTTTTCCCTTCCCTTCCCTTCTCTTCCCTTCCCTTTCCTCCCCTCCCCTCCCCTCCCCTCCCCTCCTCTCCTCTCTCCTTCCTTCCTTCCTTCCTTCCTTCCTTCTCCTTCCTTCCTTCCTTCTCCTCTCTCTCTCCCTCCCTCACCTCCCCTCACCTCCCGCACCTTTCCTCTTCCTCACTCTAACAACCTAAGGGGGCCTGGAGTGACAGTTGGGCATAAATCAGGGTCACTTGCAGCCCTACCTTTCGGGCTCAAGTGATCCTCCCACTCACAGGTGTGTCCCACCATGCCTAGCTAATTTTTTGATTTTTAGTAGAGACAAAGTCTCATTATGTTGCCCAGGCTGGTCTCAAACTCCTGGACTCAAGCAATCCTCCTGCCTTGGCCTCCGAAAGTGCTGGAATTACAGGCATAACGCACTGTGCCTGGCAGTTTCTCATTTTTTCACGGCAGCTGTTGATCTACTGGTTAACAGCTTCTGCTTTGGTTGCTTTATTTCCTTAGGATAAACTCCCAGAAGGGAGAGAGCAGGGCTAAAGGGGACGAATGTCCCGCAGCCTTTGCTATGTAATGCAATGAATGTTGTTTCCTAAGGGGATAATGTCCATTTCTAGGTCTGAGACCATTAAAAATTTGGTTCCCACCACACCTAATTTATAACTCCTAGTAATGCCCTCTCAGTTCCCCCAGAGCCTTCACATGAAGATAAAACCTGGCAACTAGAAAGAGCCAGATTACCGGTGTTGAGGAGATCTAAGGGTGGGGTGGGGACCAGGGTGCTGGCCCCAACCACCCCCTACCTGCCTGGGGGATGAGAAGAAGGGGTGCACTTACGTGAGCTCTGGGTAGACGTTCTCCAGGTACCAGCGGAAGGACTTGCAGTTCATCTTCTTCCTCTGCTCTATCCGCGTCGCCACACTGTAGGAGGAGGCAGGGCTCGGGATTTGGCCTGCCAGTGTGGAAGGCAGCCCCAGGGAGGACGCCAGAGGCCCGTCCCCCAACCCCAGGAGTCAGCCCCCTCTTCCCATCTGTCTCAGGCAGGCAAGGACGAGGAGCCTTCCAGCCTGCCATGTCCAGCCCTGGCCACTTGTCTGATGTCATTCTCTGACCTGCAAGCTCAAGTCAGGTCTCCTGGCTATTCCTCACTCCTTAAATTCCTGCCTGGAGCTCACCTTTCAGGGTGAGCACAGACCATACGGGACCACGTCTTTCTCTCAGCGTCTCACTCCTTGAGACCTCAGTTAGCAGACCATGAATTGGTCTTTATCTGTGCAGAGTTAACGAGAAGTACAGGAGAAAGGTCTAACAGCAGGAAGAGCAAGCTTTAAACATCTTTCAGGTGTGCTGGCAAATAAAACCATTAGATGTATCCTTGGGACACTGCCACCCTCACCTTCCTCAGGTACACCCACCACAATGGCCACTGGTTGACACCCTCGTCACCAGCTATCTGAGCCTCAGTGTCCTCTGCATTCATCTGGGGACACAACCACTCGTCTGAGAAGGCTTTTGTGAGAATCAAGCGAATTAAGGGGACGTGAAGCACTTAGCACAGGGCAGGTGCTAAGTAAATGTCAGTTCCTCATTACAAAAAATATTTAGTGACGTAACTTTTTTTTTTCAAAAAAAGGTAGATAGATATGAATAAATAGGGAGACGATTCCTTGACGATTATTAATTGTGTTTTCAAACTGTTCTGACCACAAGCTTAAGTAGGAGATAAATATCTTACATTGTAATCTAACATGCCCCATGTACAGTCGGCCCTCAGTATCCCTCAGTATCTGTGGGTTCCGCATCCATGGATTCAACCAACCTTGGATCAGAAATACTCAGGAAAAAAATTCCAGGCCAGGTACAGTGGCTCACGTCTGTAATTGCAGTACTTTGGGAGGCCAAGGTAGCCAGATTGCTTGAGATCAGGAGTTCAAGACCAGACTGGCCAACATGGTGAAACCCCATCTCTATTAAAAACACAAAAAATCAGCTAGGCATGGTGGCACATGCTTGTAATCCCAGCTACTCTAGAGGATGAGGCAGGAGAATTGCTTGAACCCAGGAGGAGGAGGCTGCAGTGAGCCTAGATTGCGCCACTGCACTCTAGCCTGGGTGACAGAATGAGACTCCATCAAAAAAAAAAAAAAAATTCCACAAGGTTCCAAAGCCAAACTTGAATTCACCATGCACTGAGTAGTACATTGAATCCACGCAAATGAAGTGATGTGTAGGCATTGTATTAGGTACTATAAGTAATTTAGAGATGATTTAAAATATTCAGGAGGTTGTGCATAGGGTATCCAAATACTACACTATTTTATATCAGAGACTTGAGCATCTGTGGATTCTGGTATCCATGGGGGGTCCGGGAACCAATCCCTTGTGGATGCAGAGGGGCGACTGTACATGTGTAGGTACATGCATGCACACACATGCACCCACAACTGAAATAAGAGTTTCATAAGGACAATACTAACCCTTAACTGCAATCAACTCTCATTTTCTATCCTGCTCTGTGCTAATCTAATCTATAGTGTTCTACTTCTCTCTCTCTCTTTTTAAATGCTGGTCACAACCCACTAAATTGATTTCACAACCCAGCTGCATTTTGAAAATGCTTAACTAGACCGTAGTCATAACAGTCCGTGACAGGAAAATAGGCTAACAGATCTCAATTTTGAACAGGGGGTGGAGGCAGAACCCCAGATGCTTTCTGCAGGCAGCCCCTTCCTAAGCACTCCCACAGATGCCTGTTTTCCTGCAGGCAGCTGTGGACAGGCAGCTCTTTTTCATAAGTGAGCCTTCTCTCCCCATGCGATTTCATGCTCCTCAAAGCCTAAGTCTTGTCTCTGCATTGCATTCCCTCCCAGGACCCAAAGAAGCCCATTAGAGTGGGAGCTCAGTGGCTGGGGAGGTTGTGGGCGGTTCCCTGGCGTACACACCACTTCGTATTTTGCTGGGGTTGTGCTAATGTGGGTAGAGAGAGTCAGACAGTGGAGTTGGAGGGGCCTACCTGCCGAAAGCTTTCCCGATGGCCGAGGGCCGGGCCTCATAGTAGTACTGCTTGTATTCATCCATCCACACTTCTGCAGTGCGCTTGGTGTTCCTAAAAGGAGAGGAAAGAGCAAAATAAGGTCACCAGGGAAGCCACAGGGTTAGTGGTCAGGGTCAAGATGAATTGATCCATGAACGCAGGGCGATGAGAATCTCAGGAGCAAGGTGACACTTGGATGGTATAGATAAGCACAATCCTTTTGGAAGACAGTCTGTCAATACCCATCGACTTTGTAGGTATGCAGCTAGACTTGGGCAGCTGCTGCTCCAAACCCTGTACAAATAAGCACGAGCTCGACAAGGTGAAGAACCATCCACATGTAAGAGGGTGCTCATGACAAGCCCTTCATCCTCCCCTGCCAACCTCCTCAGGACAGCAGACCATGGAGTGGTCTTCTAGGACATTACCCACTCTCCCTTGAGACTAGTGCACCCTGTAGCTGGGGATAGGGATGGACAGATGGTTGATCAAGTCACGGTTGAGACACTGGCATCCATGACCAGCACTCGGGGCTCAATGAGTGGAGAGCATGGCTTAGTTGGCGATTTGGCCAATTTTCCGAGACTCATATGGACAAAGGAAGTCAAGGCAAGAGAGACCTGGTGGCAACTCCCATAACTTCATCCCTCCACCCCTGAAGGTACCTGCAATCCCAGGAGGTTACCAGAGGGGGCAAATGGGGAAACTGAGGCCCAAGAAGTGAAGTGGCTGCCCACAGTCACATAGCGATAACTGGCAGGGCTGGGGGCTTGGGCCTTGGTGTCCTGCTCCGAGTCCCGTGCTCCTTCCTCGGTGACCTACCTGATGTAGGTGAGGGCATTACCCTCAGGGAAGTTGTAGGGGTGTCGTTTCCTGAAGACATGGCCCACCCGGCTGCAGGGGACGATCTCCAGACTGCCACCACACATCCACACCCTGAAGGAGAGCTCTGCAGGAAATGGTAGCCGTCAGGAGGAGGAAGGGGCTCCTTGGCAAGTGAGGGTGGGAAGGGGCTGACTTCCCTTCCCTTTGGTGTCTCACTGGAGGTACATGCTGGGGTCGGGGCTCCTGGGCCTGCTCAAATGGAGTGCTTCCACTTCTTGCCAATGTTCCTGACTGCCCACTCTACGTGTGCATGCGCACACGCACACACACATATACACATGATCCCTGTGGCCCATTCCGGGAAGAGCAGTGGAAAAAGCTTGAAGGAACAGCAAGAACATAAATAGGAGGAAAACAACCGAACAGCAGCATCATTTCCAGGCTCTGTCTAGAAAGCCCCGGCCAGACATGAGCTAAGGGAAAACACATCTGCTCATCAGCCAGCTCTGTGCACCCGCGAGGTCGGAAAACCAGCTGCCAACCAAACCACAGGCTGCTCCAGCTGGCACCTCTTGGGCTGGCCCCAACCTCCCTCTTGGCCCAGCTGGTCTCCTTGTACAGGCTCTCATTGGCCCTCTTGAGCCACGCCTCCTTTTGACGGTGGCGATGGAGCTGAACCAGCTTTTGTGGATGACTGTGGTCCCCAGTGGTGTCGGGAGAGCAGTGGCCATCCTGCTGCCCAGAAGGGGACCTCAAAAGTTACCACTCTGATCTCCACTCACCAGTTGCCATTTATGGTAGGGACCCACCTTGACAGCTGGCTGAATCTCACATAATCTCTTTTGATTTCCTACCTTCCTTCATATTAACCCTATAGTCTCTTCTCACTCCTCAGTTGGCTGTAAGGACACTCATGGTCTCCAGCCAGGCCTGGGGGCTCTCACCTGGTGTAGCTGGTCAGGACCCTCCCAGTGACTAGCAAAGAGCAGAGTGGAGGAAGCAGGACTAAAGCCCACCTCTGGCCAGCCTATGTTCACCAAGCAACATCCAGATGTGGTTCACGGCCAGGACTGGACACTTGGCATACCTGGACCCACATGTAAGGATGGCTGTATCAATGGGCTTCCCTAGGTCTGCCTATAAACTGCCAGGCATCCATCCCTTCTCCTGGTCAGAGGTCTGTGTTGGCCTCAGTAACTAAGGTTTAGAACTGGGGACAGTCCTGGGGGACAGAAGATCTGCATTCTGGTTCCATTTCTGCCATCCCAACTTTGTTATGCTAGTTAAGTCACTTCATCCCACTCAGCCCAGATTGTCTATAACATTATTAACTATTGTTATTATTATCAACAATGGCCATAACAATAGCAGTAACCATCCATTTATTGAGTACTTACTACACACCATGCTCTTTCTATCCAATGTCTAATTCTCATTACAGCCATGTGAAGTCAGGACTATTACCCTTATTTTTTTTAATGAGAACTTTGAAGCTCAAAGATGTTAAATAACCTCTCCAAGGTCACTCAAATATTCAGTTGCAGAAATGCAGCATCAAGTTCACACTGTGTCCAGCAAGCCACACAGCCAGATTCTTTAGCTCACTCAGCAAATTTTCATTATATGTCAGACACTGCTCTAGATTCCCTTGTACTCTAGCAGCAAAGCAGGGAGAAATGAACTCCGTAAAATAAGAAGCAAAAAAATACAAGTAAACAAGAAAATGCATAAAAATGTAGCATATCGGCTGGGCGCGGTAGCTCACGTCTGTAATCTTAGCACTTTGGGAGGCTGAGGGCGGCGGATTGCCCGAGCTCAGGAGTTCGAGACCAGCCTGGGCAACATGGTGAAACCCCGTCTCTACTAAAATACAAAAGAAATTATCCAGGTGTGGCAGCATGCACCTGTAGTCCCAGCCACTCGGGAGGCTGAGGCAGGAGAATTGTTTGGACCCGGGAAGCAGAGGTTTCAGTGAGCTGAGATCACGCCACTGCACTCCAGCCTGGGCGACAGAGCGAGACTCCGTCTCTAAAACTAAATAAATAATAAATAAATAAAATGAAAAAAATAAAAATAAAAAATAAAATAAAATAAAACAAATAGAGCATATCAGATGGTAGTCAGGGCCATGGAGAAAAATGACCCAAGCTGGGAATTGAAGAGGGCCAGTGGATGGTGCTGGGGGAGGACTATGACTGTGTTTTAAATTTGGCTGATAAGGAGAGTTGTCACTGTAAAAGGGACATTTGAGCAAAGACCTGAAACAGGTGAGGGAGCAAGTCCTGTGGCTGGCAGGAGAAGAGCATTCCAGGCAGAGGAGCCGGCAAGGGCAGGTCCCTAGTGGTAAGGGCATAGCTGGCAGGTTCAAGGAGGCTGTGCTGGCGGGGGCACGGTTGCTCATGCCTATAACCCCAGCACTTTGGGAGGCCGAGGCGGGCGGATCACTTGAGAGGTCAGGAGTTCGAGAGAAGCCTGGCCAACATGGTGAAACCCTGTCTCTACTACTAATACAAAAATTAGCCAGGCCTGGTGGTGTGTGCCTGTAATCCCAGCTTCTCAGGAGGCTGAGGCAGGAGAACCGCTTGAATCCAGGAGGCAGAGTGCAATGAGCTGAGATTGAGCCACTGCACTCCAGCCTGGGGAACAAGAGCAAGACTCCGTCTAAAAAACAAAAAAAGAATGGAGGCCATGCAGCCCACGTGGAGTGAGGCAGGTGGGGTAAGTGGGAAGTGAGGGCAGGTGTGTGGCTGCAGGGACAGGCAGATACCTTAGGGCCTCGTAGCCAGTAAGGAGTTTGGGTTTTCCTCTGAGTAACATGAGAATCCTTGCAAGATTTTGAGCACAGGAGCAACATAATTTATGTTTGAAAAGGATCCCCAACATGAGTCCCAAAGTTTGCACATCTGCCAGCCACACTCAAGGTGGCCTCTGGGCTCCCGAGTTGGAATTCTTTGGGCACGAAAGAACACATCTTGGTGTGGGAATCTCCCTTCCTTCAATACAGGAACAAAAGAAAAGGCTCAAACTCGCCGGCGACAGGAGTCTCACAGCTCAAAACCGGTCCCAGCGACTGAACGTCTGAGCACTGCAGCTAGCCTAGACATTTCTTTGAATTTCTTCTAAGAAACAAAACGCTCGCCAGAACCACTCTGTGGTTCACCTTTCAAGTTCTCCAACCACGGAGCCCTTGCCTCAGGCAGAGTTTGAAGTGAGCTATTTGATCATTCACTTGTTTCTCTGTCTCTAGCCTCAAAAGAAAAAGAAAAAGAAAAAGAAAAAAAGGCCTCTGGAGGCAGAGCAAGGAGACTGTGGGTTTCCCAGCTTTCCAAGTCTTCACAGGAAACTGGTTTTGCCAAAGCCCTTCAGGCCGAGATTGAGGACACAAAGCAGGTCACTTGGACCCAAAACACATGAAAGGGGTCAGAATGGAGGGGTCACTGCACCCCAGTTCCCAGAATTTACTCCTCCAAACCCTGCCTGGAAACAGCCTCCAAAAGCAAGTTACAAAGCAGGGGGAGTCCCATGCCCATTCCCACTCCAGCTGGTTTTGATTCGGGATCAGGCCTGTTGGAAGCCCCCTTGCTGCTATTTTCCTGATCAGGGAGAAAGACTTAAAGAATCCCTGCTCTTCACATCTCAGAGACATAGACTGTGACTTTGCCAACATCCCACAAACACATAAGTGGCTCTGGTAAAGGAGCTGCATATGCCCGTTACACGTGGAGTTTCCGGACTGCAATGTGGAAGGCAGCATCCGCCTCAGTCTTTCCACCTGTCAGATGGGTGAGACACCACCAGCCCTAGTTACTGCACAGAACACCTGGTCAGGAAGAAGAAGGAAGCAGTGGGACAGGGCTCTGTGAAGGGCTGGGTCCACCAAGAGGGCAAGAACAGGCCACCGAGTACATGCCCCTGCTCCTGGAGACCCCAGAATGGTGCTTCCCACCGCCCCCATCTCCACATCGCTGTTTGTGAGACTGCCCCTGAGGGCTGCACCATGGAGTTCCCTTCCTCAGGCGGACAGGGAGGCACCAGCAGGAGATGATGGGGTTGGGGTAGAGTGAGGGGGACACTCTCCACCTGGTGCCATGGGCTGGCTGCATGTGCTCCATGACCACAGCTCCATCGTGGGGTGCTCCCTTACCCTGTCTTTCAGACATCGGGGTGGTTACAGCTCCCAGAATTCACAGTCCTGCCCAGTACTGCGCTGTCCCTGCGGTTCCCTCTATCCTGCCTGCACTGTGTAAATAAGGCCTTTAATAAACACGCACGTTGGGCGCGCCTTCCGTATTCTGCCAGGACCTTAACTGATGATGCTCACCCTTATCTAACTTCCATCTCACATGCAACCCTGTTTTGCGAATGAAGGAACTGAGATTCAAAGAGTTGACTGGCTTGCCAGCCCACACATAATGGAGTCCAGAGTTTGGGCTCCGATCCCACTTGGTAACCCTTCCTGGTACTCTGTGGTCCCAACACCATGAGCTGAGAAGCAAGTGTATGAGGGCCCAGCCCCTCCAGCTCCCTCCTGGAACAGTTCGCCCCCACCTCTGTCTCCTTCGCTGCTGCTTCAGGGCAGGGAGGGGCAGCTTCCCGTGCCTTCTGAGTCTAGAGACCGCCTAATGACAGTGACCACCAGCACTGTGACCTGCCTTTAACTCATCACCTCATTTAGTACTCATAACAACCTCTTGAGGAAAGTCAGACTTTAAAGGGCTTTAACTTGCCCAGGGCCAAACAGCATGCAGGTGGTAGGGCCAGGGTTTGTACCCAGGCCATCTGACTCCATTACTTAGCATCTCACCACCACCCTCTACCACACACCTCCCAGCCTTGCTGGTAGGGAAGCAGCCACGTGTGTAATCTGTGGTCTGTGATACAGTTGTGTGTTCTTCCACACACATGTCTAGCCATGTGACCACGGGCTCCCCTGAATAGAACCTCTTTGTTTACTAGCTGTGTGGCTTAGGACAAATTGCTTAACTTCTCTGTGCCTTGGATTTTAAAATCAGTAAAATGGAGATCATGATACTTACCTCAGAGGGTCCTTGAGAGAATTAAATGACCTCATGTGTGTGAAGTCCTTAGATCAGGTCCTCACGCATAGAAAGTGCTCTGTCAGGGTTAGCTATGGTTCTTACTGCTTCTGTTATTTTCACTGTCACTATTTCCCAACTCACCAAAATTCTCTCCTCCCCAGATGTCCATCTGGGCATCATACTTTCCCAGGTGGTTAAACCAGGACTTGTCAATCACGAAGATTCCTCCAGCTATGACAGGCGTCCTGGGAGCAAGGAGAGGGAAGAGGCAACACATGAGCTGAAGAAGCAAGGAGGCCCTTTAGATGGCCCCAGGACCCAAGACCGCCAGCCTCTAGATCCCTCCCTGCAGAGTCACTGGGGCAGGATGTCTGGCCAGCTCCCTGGCCCCCCACATCTGTTCCCATGGCCTCTGTCTGCACCGTCCCTGCAGACAGGCTCTGAGGGCCCAGAACAGAGTCGGCACTTGACAGTGCACCTCAGGAGCCCAAGCGACCGATGTAGCCTCTGAAGAGCCTCCCAGGCCCCTGACCCAGGGAAGGAAGGGGTCCCCCAGAGCCCACAGCAGCCCTGACCTTATGGGCCTGGTGGGGTCTGTCCGGGTCATCTTCTGCTCAAGAGGGATCTGCTCCCACTTGAAATGCAGGCTCCAGTCGAACCCTAAGGGACAGAGCAAGGTGAGGACAGAGCTCAGGGCAGAGCTGCGGGCTGCTGAGCCCCTTCACTCCACCACCCCTTGGAGTCTCCCCTGATCAGAGCCCTGGCTATTCGTGCAGCCCCTCCTTCATGCGGAATGAGCCAAGCCCCTCCTCTCAGGAAGTGCACCATCTACTGGGTAAGACAGAAACTACAAAGATAAATAAATCAACGGAGGCTATGTCTGCTGGGATGAAAGCACTAAAAAAAAAAAAAAAGGAGGAGTGCCCATACTATTAATATTATAGTTAGAATAGTCAGGAAAGGCTCTCTGGTGACTTTGGAGTACAGACCTGAAGGAAGGACAGATCCATGCAGATACCTGGAAAAAGGGAATTCCAGGCAGGGGCAGCTGCCAGTGCCAAAGCCCTGAGGTGATTTCCCAAAGGGGAAATGCCTGGCTCCCTTCAGAATCCCACCCAGACTCGCGATCTAACTAATGGCTGGGTCCATATACTGGGAGTCCAGATCCCAAACGGGGAATCCGCTGTGCCCACTAGCTCCCAGCACCAGACTCTCTAGAGCAGCACAGTTCCATAGAACTCTCTGCAACGGTGAAATGTTCTAAATCTGCATTGTCGAATACCGTAGCCACTAACTTCATTCATGTGGCTACTGAGCCTTGAAATGTGGCTAGTACAGTTAAGGAACTGCCTTTTAAGTTTCATTTGATTTGAATTAATGTAAGTTTAAGTAGCCAAAGGTGGCTATTATCTACTGTACTGAATAACCTGGCACAGTCCAAAAGAAATATAATACAAGCCACAGATGTAAGCCAAATACGTAATTCAAATGTTCTAGTAATCACATCAGAAAAAGAATATATGAAATTAATTTGGATGAAATTTTTTAATGTAATATATCAAAAATATTGTCATTTCAACATGTAATCAATACAAAAAATTACTAATGAGGTATCTTACATTCTTTCACATTAAGTCTGGGAAACCTGGTGGGTTTTCTATGCCCACAGCACTCTCAGTTCCAACTAGTCACTTTTCAAGACTAGTCACATTTCAAGAGCTCAACAGCCAAATGTGGCTGATAATCGCCATACACAGCACAGGTCTTGACCATCTCTGGGGCACACGTGTTAGGAAGTCATGCAAGGCCGAGGGATCCCCACTCAAGACATCCTCATCCTCAAGACAGCTGTCACATCATGGCCTTCTGCCAGGACTTGTGACCATGATCCCTAGGCTTGAAGCATTTGGGAAGAAAGTGTCAATATTTGGAGGGAGGGAAAGATGAGAGACTAGTCTGGCTCCGATATTGATTGGACCAGAAGCCTGCAACTGCCAGTGCTGCTCCTTTGTCCCCAGTCCCAGGGCTGCGCCCAATCCCTCTTCATTTTCTCTTTGGAGGTGGTGGAAGGGGTGTGCATGAGGCTCTCTGGCACAGCCGGAAAGAGCAGCAAGCAAGGGTTTTTGCCTGCCTAGCCTCACTTACCTCCTTTCATGTCTACAGCCCCATCCCTGGGAGTAGAACTCACCTCCACGAAGGTCAGCAGATGCTGCAAGGTAGGCAAAATTATCCAGACTGATGACATCAATGATGGGACTCACTACACGCGTGTGGTCCTAGGAGAGAGATGCGAGATGGTGTGAGGCCTGGGACTCCTCTGCAGAAAAAGGCCTAGCTGCCTGCTCTGGGGAGAAGGCCTCTCTGAGACATGGGGCACTCAGCACTTCCTGCAGGGTATGCCCAGGGCCGCCCCTCAACCCTGGCAGGCTCTTGGCAGCTGTCCCACATCATCACACCCAAGCTCCTGGATGTTCCTATTTGGCTCCCATGTACTCTCCCAGCCTCTTCCTCACACATCATTTTGAGCCCTGCTAGAATCTCACCTACTCCATGAAGTCTTCCCTGACTGCTGCAGGCTGAAGGATTTTTTCCTCTTTTAAACTGCTCTTACAATGACAGCCTAGATGATTCCTGGGACAGTGACTCACTGTGCTGCCTGAGGTGGCTTTTCTATTTCTGGTCTGAACTGTTGTTTTATTAATATCATTTACCTTTGTATAATAGTTGTTTGAGTCTTCCCAACAGGACTACTAGCGGCTGGAGGGCAGGGGCTCTGTGGTCCCCACGTAATCTGGGTGCTAGCTCTCTCATACCACATCCACTGTTACAAGGTCAGACTCACCACTCCCTGCATCACCTCCCAGAACACAAATCCAAATCCAAAACCTTGAGGAATAATGTTGATTTTGCTGGTCTCTTTTTTTGGGTGGTAGATTACGTCATATACCACATGCAAAACTTCATCACCCTTCATGAGCCTTCTCGTCTTTCGCCCTCCATGGGGGACAGGGAACAGAGCCCCTTCTTTCTTCTCTTTCTCCACTCTGCTTTCGCCCCCCAAATCCTCTTGTCTGGAACTTGGAATCCAGCTCTACCCCTCAGTTCGCACCCTAGATCAAGATAACGGGAAGCCTGAGATGGGGCTGAACAGCGGGGACCTTTGATGGTTTTTCAATGCTCTGTGGAGGGCCTCACCTCATCCTTTTTATAGACTTTTTTGTGCTGAGATACAAAATCACAGGTTTAAAGTGCACAATTGATGGTTTTTAGTATATTCACAAGATTATACAACTATCACCACTATCTTGTTCCAGAACATTCTCACCACCCCAATAAGAAACCCAATCTACTTGCTATTTCTATAGATTTGCTTATTCTGGACATTTCCTATGAATCGAATCATATAATGTATGGCTTTTCGTGATTGGCTTTCACTTCACATAGGTTTTCAAAGTTCATCCATGTTGTAGCATGAATCAGTTCTTCATTTTTTTAATGACGGGATAATTCTGTTGTATGGATACGTTACATTTTATTTACCCATTCGTCAGTCGACAGGCATTTGGATTTTTCATGCCTTTCAGTTATTCTGAATAGTGCTGCTCTGAAGTTACTGTGTGAGCATATGTTTTATTTCTCTAGGGTATACACCTAGCAGCTCCACTGCTGGGTCATATGGTAACTAACTTATGTTCAAACTTTCGCGGAACTGCCAGACTGCCTTCCAACGTGGCTGCCCTACTTTACTTTCCTGCCGGCAATATATGAAGGCTCCTGATATGGTTTGGGTATTTATCCCACCCAAATCTCATGTTGAAATGTAATCCCCAAGGTTGGAGATGGGGCCTAGTTAGGGGTGTCTGGGTCATGGGGGTGGATCGCTCATGGCTTGGTGTTGTCTTCGTGATAGTGAGTGACTTTTCATGAGATCTGGTTAGTTTAGAAGTATGTAGTACCTCCAGCCAACTGTCTCTTGCCCTCACTCTTGCCATGTGAGGTACCTACTCCCCCTTCATCTTCTGCCATGAATAAAGCTCCCTGAGACCTCCTCAGAAGCCAAGCAGACGCCAGTGCCATGCTTGTACAATGTGAGCCACTTAAACCTCTTTTCTTTATAAGTTATCCAGTCTCAGGTATTTCCCTATAGCAGTGCAAGAATGGCCTGATACAGCTCCTATTTCTCCATGTCCTTGCCAGCACATGTTATTGTCCATCTTTTTGATTCTAGCCATCCTGGCAGGTGTGAAGTGGCATCTCAGTATGTGTTTGAGTTGCATTTCCCTAATGACTAATGATGCTGAGCATATTTTCCTACGATTATTGGCCATTTCTATATCTTCCTTGGAAAAATGTCTACTCAAATCCTTCGCCAACTTTTTTTTTCTTGAGATGGAGTCTCGCTCAGTTGCCCAGGCTGGAGTCAGTGGTGTGATCTTGGCTCACTGCAACTTCTGCCTCTCAGGACCAGGTGATTCTCCCGCCTCAGCCTCCCAAGTAGGTGGGAGCATAGGCACCCGCCGTCATGCCCGGCTACTTTTTGTATTTTTGTAGAGATGGGGTTTCACCATGTTGACCAGGCTGGTCTTGAACTCCCGACCTCAGGTGATCTGCCTGCGTTGGCGTCCCAAAGTGCTGGGATTACAGGGGTGAGCCACCGCTCCAGGTCCCTTTGCCAAGTGTTAAATTGGGTTATTTGTCTTTTTATGGTTGGGTTGTAATCATCTCATCCTTTTCTGCCATCTGTCCAAAATCCTCCCGGTTCTGGAGAGCAGTAGGTATGTGGCAGGGGCCCTCCTACCCTCCCCTCTCTTTGAGAACAGCATCCTCTCCTCCCTCCTGCAAGGGCTTCCCAGCCTGAACAAAAGCTCTCCCAGCACAGGACCCTCACTCTCTCAGGAGAAAAACAACACCCATTTATAGTAGGAGCTTTGTAGCTCACCCAGGCTTTCATCCAATTTCATTCTCACAATAACCCAACGGGATAATTATTACAATTATCCCCATTTTCAGATGAGAAAACTCAATAAGGTGAAGTCACTCGGGGGAAGTAGACTATTTGGGTTTCCTACGATGCCTGCCCAGCTTCGAAGACTGTCCCACAGGCCTCGGTGCTGGGAATGTAGCGGCTGAGTCTCCAAGGACGCCCAGCTCCCCAGAGACGGCGGCTCACCTCCTTCACCCGCTGCAGCATGGGCGGCAGCCACTCGGTGTTCACTTCGCAGTGACTATCCAGAAATGTGAGGACGGTAGCTGCAGCCACATCCGCCCCACGCACTCGGGACCGGATCAGCCCTGCAAGGGGAGTAGACAGGGCTCGGTGCTGGGACTGGGCCAACTGGCTTCCCGCCTGTCCCCCAAAGTCCCAGGGCTCTCCTCCCCTTCAGGGGCTGAGGTTTCCTTGAGGTTTCCTGAGTTATTGTGATTAGATTTGTCTTTGTACTTCTGCTTGTTTCCTGCCTCCCTCCCTTGCTTCTTCTTATCCACCCATCAACCACCATCACTCCAGGGTCACACCCCGAGTGCCCTCTATGTGCCAGTCACTGTCTGGGCTCTAGGGACACACTGATGAACAGTCACAGTTTAGAGCATGGAAAGGGCAATAAAGTATAGTTTAATCCTAAAGGAGAACCGGAAAACAAAACTTTTTCCCATGAGAACCTGTGGGTGGTCCCCTCCAGCCATACCCCTATGTGTAGCATGGAGATAATCTTCGAGACTAAGATAGGCTGAAGTCTGTATGGCAGCCCCTTCCCTTCCCTTCAGCATGTTATTTAACCGCTCCGAGCCTCAGTTTTCTTATCTATAAGATGCAGAGAGATAATAATCCCTGACTGTCAGGTTCAAACAAGACGACAGGGATAGAGCTTGTGCCTGGGGGACCCACACACGTCAGATTCTGTTCTTCTGTGCCTGTCCTCCAACAGCCTCACCAGCCTCATTTTGGGCAGCACTGTGCCCCGGGCTGGGACCCGCCTGGTCAGGAGGGAGGAGGCCCAGCTTCTCCTGCCCCTGCCAGAGTGGCCATGCAGTCCTGTGAGCTGTGGGAGGGAAGGATCTTACTCTTAGAGCTCTGAGTATAAGCAGCTCCTTGGAGACATTTCCCTAGTCATGCCTCTGCCCCACACTCTGCCTCTAGCTGCCTACCAGCCCGCCCTCCAGCCAAAAGCCCATCAGTCTCCACCCCAAAAGTGTCTACAAAGCCTCTAGTCATAAATGTACATTTACTGTTGTCAAATCCAGGGACAGCATATTCCCAGACCCGATGGTACCTACAGCCCAGTGGCTTGGGAAGCATTTAACTTTGGTCACTTCCATTCCGGTTTGAAGGTCTCCGTCACTGATATCCTTGTGGCCCCTTAGCCTGACTGGTCTTTCTTTCTCTCTCTTTTTTTTTTCCGAGACAGTGTCGCTCTGTCACCCAGGCTGGAGTGCAGTGGCGTAATCTTGACTCACTGCAGTCTCTGCCTCCTGGGTTCAAGTGTTGAAGTGATTCTCCTGCCTCAGCCTCCTGAGTAGTTGGGGCTAGAGGCATGCACCACCACACCCAGATATTTTCGTATGTTTAGTAGAGACTGGGTTTTAGCACATTGGCCAGGCTGGTCTTGAACTCCTGACCTCAAGTGGCCTGCTCTCCTTGGCCTCCCAAAGTGCTGGGATTATCTTAAACATATCTATCACATCCTTCTCTCACTCTAAAACCTTCAGTGGCTCCCTGCTACCTCTGCCTTATGAAGTCAATGCTTTCTTCTGGCTTCCAAGGTCTTCTATCATCTCAATTCACTCCACCCATTCCCCTTGCTGACCAGGCCTGGGGTCTCGCAGGAAGGGAGTATGAGTAGAGGGAGGTTAGGAGGCTGACCTTTGGGTTGGGACCCACAGGTTGGAACCATGGCTGCTCTATTCATCACCCTGGGCAAATCGCTGAAGCTCCTTAAACCCCAGTTCCCTTGTCTGTACAACAGGCACAATGGGCTTAGTACAAGGACTGAAAGTAACAAAATGGATGCCCGCAGGGGAGGAGCCCTCAGGAAAGGGGCTGTTAGTATTGCACATGCCCATACCCCTGACTGATGCCTTTGCTTGCAGAGTGCACAAGCCGGCATGCCCTCCCTTGCTACCTTTTACCTGTCTCATGACGCCCCCACACCCCGTTGAGGCCCATTCCTCCACGGAAGCCTTCCCTGCTCACTCCAGCTCTCCTCCGATCTCCATGCTATTCATACACAACCACAACCAACCTGTGGCTGCAGTGGATTCTGACCCCTTGGCTATGTAGTAGCCCTCCGAGGGCAGGGACCACACTTTGTATTTCCTTCGTGTCCCCTAGAGTGCCATGCTATAGTTGCTACTCCAAAACACGTCTGGATTGGAAGTGAGGTCACATCTGCTTTATGCTTCTAGATTTTTCTGAATTTTTCTCAAAGCCTTTCCACACAGCCAGTCTCATGTAATCCTTACAATCACCTTGCAAGGCTGAAAGGGACTGTCTTATCCCATTTCTCAGGAGAGACAGCTAAGGCAGTCAGAGATGGAGCAACTTGCCTCCAGTTGTGCCTTGATGGGGCTGATCTGGGAAGCAGGAGAGTATTCTGCAGAGCCTGAGTATAAGCCATCAGGAATGCAGCAGGGCCCTGGTGGCTTGGTGTGCCACAGCACCAAGAGAGAGTGCGGAGGTGCAGAGGATGACACCAAGATGGGCCCTCGGCAGGAACCAGGGTGCAAGGACTCACCTTCTCGCCGGTCATTGCGCAGGCACTTGACCTTGGGGATCCTGGTCAGGAGTAGACAGTCTTCCGCTGAGGACGTAGAGAGGAAGGCAAGCTCATTTAGACATGGGCATCAGGCCACTAGTGGTTTGGCTGCCATGAAAATTGCCCCATACTAAGCCCAGGAAAGGGCTGGGGATGGGAATGGGGAAGGGGTATGGTCATCATTACTGGCCGAAGGGTTGCCCTGCCCCACTCTCAGGCCAGATTGAAGAGTGCCTGTACCTACGGCAGTACTCCACTCCACCTCAGGGAGCACCAGAGAGCACGTTTGGAGGTGGTTACCAGCCCAGCTAGCATCTGCATTTGGCAGTTGTAATAATGAAGGATGCTGTTGAGTTTCTTTACTTTAAAAAAAAATGTCATCTCACAAGTGTCCCATCCAAAGCAACACCCACCCTTCTTTCCCCTCCTTTGACACCAGGAAACAGGACCAGGGAAGGGTCCTAGAAAAGACAGGATCCCTGCCGGGGACAGAAGGGTGTCTGTGATGGTCAGGACAACACCAACCTTGCCTTGGTGTTCTGGGGAAACGGAGACGAGGGTGGAATGCAGGGCTGCAAAAAGGAAGGTGACTACTCACGATCTGAACTGAAGTCATCCACTAAAATGATCTCCTGGATCAAGTTGGCAGGAGTTCGGTTCAGGACACTAGAGTAGCAGTGGAAACAGAAAGAGCCTGGATTTAGGAACCACCTCCCATTTTTACCCCTCCCTGGGCCGTGGGACTCCCCAGCCGCCCAGCTCCAGGGCCAGCACCCTGGGCGCTCCTACCTGAATCCCATTCTTGTCTAAGTTCATTAAGGAAAAGGGGAGATGGGAGTTCAACTTGACCACAAGCCCAGGCTTAGCAGGAAGAATCCACCTCCAATCTGCCGCTCTGTGACACCGACAGACACTGCTGGGCTTCCATCACCCTCCTGAGGTCTCCTGTCTAGCCCGGCCTCCCTCAGCTCCTGACACCTACATTTCTGTCCTTGTCCTGGACACCTGACCTGGTGTTTGACTATCACATTCCTCTAACAGTTGGACTTCTGGGGTCTTCCTGGCCCTGATTCACCAGTTTCACCTTCTCAGAAGTACAGGACTCAGCCTCCAGCACCTGCTGAGCTTCATGCTGTCTGGCCACAGCGCCCGATCCCAATATCCTCCCCTGCCAGCACCACTGAGATGACAGTCCTGTGGCTGGACTTACCTCTTCACTGTGCGCAGCAGGGTGGAGCGGGCCTCATTGTGGAAGGTGATGATGACGCTGGTGGCCGGCAGGTCCGAGGAGTAGGACACAGACGGGCAGCTGAGCAGGGAGCAGAGGTCAGAGCCAGCCATGAGGGCATCCTCAGGGCAGGCCAAGGTTTTTCTTTATCCAGTTTATTGCACCCGAGAATACTTCTGCGAGGCAGAGAAGGCACACCCAAAGCCAGGCCAGAGGCCCCGCCCTTCTACCCCCATGCTGTATCCCACACTGGCCCAGAGCCCAGATGCCACCCATCCTGGGGTCCTGGAAGGGAAGCAGCAGGTTGGGAGACCTTCCAAAGCCTGAGGGCTCTTTACCAGGGATCCAGAGCCCCCAGAGGGTACAGCACCAGGCCCCAGGATACAGCCCTGACCACACAGACAGAACTCTCTGTCCTATGATGGGGGTGATATGCGAAAGGGAAAACCACCTCTTTGTTTGTCCCGATACCCTGGAGCGTCTTCCTTCTCTCCTCCCACCTCAGGACATTTGGTAGCATCTGCAGAGGAATCACCCCTACCCTGGCTGCCAGGGAATTCCTCCCTCTCACTGCCCAATACTGACAGCCCTGCTGCAGACAATGGACTGGGGAGCAGTCTCGCTCCTCCGGGGGTCCTGGGTCCCCTGGAAGAAACAAGCCTCTGATAAGACACCAAAGGCCTATCCCGCCACCCCCTCCCTCCCCAGCCATCCATATACACCACATTTTCTGGCCTACTGGCTCCCTCTCCTCTAGAAAGGGAGTGAAAACAATTCATTCCTGCCAGACTTCATCCCTGTTGTTTCTGTGCATGCATTTATTTGTACTCCTGGGACGCTGGAAGGCGGCCTCCATTGCTGGTTTTCATAGCAATCTTCTTTATTACAATTGCTCTCTGACTATTCCAGCAGTGACCATTTTTTCATTATGGCATTCATTCTACTGACAGCAGCTTACAGCCCGAATTCCCAGGCCCGTTTCCTGCCCTGCAGAGCAGACCGGGTCAGACAGGCGGGAGTCCCACTAGCCTGGGACCCCCCTGGGGGAAATCTTGAGAGGCTGTGCAATAATTCTCCTGGAGAGGGGGTGTGGGGTAGTGGTGGCTGAGGGAAATTTGCCTTCTGCCCCTTGAGAAACCATGCTGCTCAAGGGCCTACGAATTGTGGGGGTGGGAGTGAGCTTGGCTGGCTGAGCTGGGGTGTGCTGGGAGCAGCAGATACCTCCTAAGTGTGTACCCTCCCAGTGCTAACCTCCAGGGCCCCAGTCGTTCTGTCCTGATCCCCCAACCATCCGGTGCCCAGGAAGGAGGGAATCGGGACAGCGACGTCTCCCTGGAGGGGGCAAACCCACCCACACCCCATCTGAAGGGTGAACTTGACCTCCCCTCCCCACTGGCCCCCTCCAACCCTTTCCACCATGTATGCCTCTGGGATTGATGTATTGATGTCCCTGAGGATGGGGGTTTATCTGGCTCCCAGGAGCCAGGAGTCTCTAAAGGGGTTTGTCCCAGCCCTGAGTTTTGAGTTTGGAGCTGGTGGGGTTTTCTCTGTGATCCTCCTTGGGCTGTCTTATGTGGTTTATGTCCCTTTGCTTCCCTGGAGGGGGCTCCCTAGATTGAGGACTGGACCAGAAATGAACCTGACAATTTGGAGTCCAGCAGACACTACAGCCTGCAGGGCTGCAAGGAAGAGCAGCTCCTACCAGTGAACTGGCCCCATCATGGTGGGAGGCCTGCCCACCAAAGCCAGCACATCCTTTGCTTCCCTACACATGTGCACACACATGCACACACACACACACACCCCCACCGTGAGCCACCTCAGCTTTTTTTTTTTTTTTTTTTCTTTTTTGAGACGGAGTCTTACTGTGGCACCCAGGCTAGAGTGTGGTACTGTGATCTTGGCTCACTGCAACCTCTGCCTCCTGGGTTCGAGAGATTCTCCTGCCTCAGCCTCCTGAGTAGCTGAGATTACAGGTGCCCACAACCACGCCCGGCTAATTTTTGTATTTTTAGTAGAGATGGGGTTTCACTATGATGGCCAGGCTGGTCTTGAACTCCTGACCTCAAATGATCCGCCCGCCTCGGCCTCCCAAATTGCTGGGATTACAGGCGTGAGCCACCGTGCCCGGCCCACCTCAGCTTTCTGAGAGGGCCCGGCAGCAGCATACGGACCTCATCCACCCACCACTACCTTGGATTTAAAGCGTCTCATTTAAAAATCTATGTAGTCCCCAGGGCAATTCCCCCTTTAAGTTTCTCAGTGAGCACCTGAAAAGGTTCAGAGTCAGGTAAGCTAAAGGGTGAACAGAGATTACCCAGGACAAGCCCTCAATTTACAGATCGGGGCCAGCAGATCCTCCAGACCCTGGGACTAGGTCGGCCATGGCTAGGGCTGCCCACGAAAGGCCTCCAAGTGGAGCTACGTGGACGTAACCTCTTCTGTGGCACAGGCAGACAGGAGGGGACACTGCCCACGACTAGGTGAGAAAGAACTTCTGAGGCCCAGAAACGGCCAGCAGACCTGGTGTTGGCCTTGCCGCATACCAGGAGTACTGCCTTACTTGGCTGCATGAGTGGTTTCTGGAGGCTGACAGTGCTGGTGTTACAGGACAGCAAGGCTGAGGTCTGGGGCTCCTCCAGCCCTGTGTTCATCTCACCTTGCACGGGCTACCAAGCACCCTGGACTTCAGGCATGCGTCTGTGAGTGACAAGGAAAGTGCTAGAACCTGGCCCTCTCGTACCCTCACCTCACCTATACCCTTTGTGCTGTGGAGTAGCTGCTTCAGAATTAAAAGCAACCTTGATCCAAGTCATTGTTCCTACCCTCAAACCAGGACCAGATGGAGGCCCAGCCTAGCTCTGAGCACATAGCTGCAGGCACAGCGGTGGGTCAGCTCCAACAGCGTCCTGGTCATTCTGTGAGATGTCTGCATAGAGCGCAGAAGAGGGGCCCAACCTAGCCGGGGTTGGGAAGGAGCCTTCCATGGAAGGGAGGACAGTGAGCCAAGTGTCCTTGAAGTGAGCCAAGTAGCTCAAAGGGTAGGTGGGGCGGAGGACGTGCGTTTGGGCAGAGGAAACAGCACGTGTGAAAGCAAGGAAGGAAGGAGGGAGGAGTCCGGGACTGCAGGACCATCAAGGGCTGGGGGAAAGGTGGGTAAGGCCAGGTCACAGGGAGGGGAGGGTGGTGCTTCAGCAACAGGAACTCAGACTGTTCCTGCAGGTGACAGCAGGAAGAGGAAAGACTGCAGATGGTGACTTTCATACTCTAGACAGAACACACAAAGGCCTAAACCTGGAGAGGGGCTAATGCCTTGCTTAAGGCCGGTCACTCACACTGAGCTGGGATGAGAGTGGAGGCTTCCTTGGTCCCGGTCTAAGGCCTCTCCCACCTCACTACATGGGGAGAACTAAGAACAAGACTGGGAAGCATTTCTGGGAGTTGCTGAGGAGGTGGGGCTGTGGTGCAGGAGGAAAGGTAGGTCAATGGGGTGGGGCACAGCACCCCACTGTTTGCAATGGGCAGGGCTGTGACTCTCTCCACTTTAGGCACCACCAGTAAGGCCCCAAGAGCGCCTGGCTCACCCACCCCCACGGACCTCCTTTGGTCCCCTCCCAGGTCACTTTTGCTGGGACGCCAGACTGAAGTGCCTCGGGGCCGCCTTGGCCTCAGCTGAGCAGTTTCCTTGGTCTTGGCAGGGCCTCAGTAGGTCAGATAAAAAAACAACAGAAGGTGAGGGTTTTTGAATGTCTAAATCACTGGACACAGTCTGAGGAAATCATCCTGATTTCTTAGATACATGTAAAATAAGGCAAACTAAACAATGTTGGCCTTTTCTCAGACTTTCTTCCTCCACCGACACGATGGAGGCCGTACCTGTAATGGCGGGTGTCCCGGATGGGCCGGTCCGGGCTCAACTTGTCACTCTCCAGCTGGTTGAAGGCGTGCTGCCTGTAGGGGTCCTCTCCGGCCTTCAGCTGCTTGGCCGACAGGTAGGCCTTCTCATCAAAGCCTTTCGAGGGAGTTCCTGTCACCTGAGATGAAGGTCAGCGTCAGAGAGGACCACAGGCAGGAGGACCCTACCGTATGGCGAGCACTCAGCACACACCAGGCGGGAGTCAGCCGCGTGGCCTCATTTGTGCCTTACGCCAACTCTATGAGGAGGAGACCGTTATCTCCCCCATTGTACAGGTGAGAAAACTGAGGCTCAAGAGGCTTTTTTTCTTTTCTTTCTTTTTTTTTTTTGTTGACACAGGGTCTCATTCTGTCACCCAGGCTGGAGTGCAGATCTTGGCTCACTGCAACCTCCGCCTCCCAGGTTCAAGAGATTCTTCTGTCTCAGTTCCTGAGTAGCTGAGATTACATGTGCGCACCACCACACCTAGCTAATTTTCATAATTTTGGTAGAGATGGAGTTTCGTGGTGTTGGCTAGGTTGGCCTTGAACTCCTGACCTCAAGTGATCCGCCTGCCTCGGACTCCCAAAGTGCTGGGATTACAGGCATGCACCACTGCACCCAGTCATCAAGAGGCTTCTTAAAAAGCATCCAGGGTCAGAGCTAGTAAGTCACAAGGTCTGGATTTAAACTGGTTATTCTGACTCCAAAGCCCATGCTCTTAACCAATGCTCTTGGCAGGATACGGGGAGGGTGAGTCCTGGAGTGCACTAGACCTCTAAGTCAAGGTGTCCTGAGGGGACTACAAACCAGAATGGACCCTTCTAAGCACCTGCAGATTGACAGTCTCCTAGGGAGAAACCTGGGCCTAGCCTTGGGCTAGGCATTATATGAGGCACCAATCAGTAAAACACCAGGGCTTGGACAAGCTGCTACAGAAAGAACTACCTGTAAGGACAGCAAACCCCTGCAGGCTGAAGCCAGAGCTACCAGAACTCAAGTGCTCAGACAGTGGTGCATCTTCTCTGGGACTTTTGCCTGCTCCTGAAATGGCCCCCTGTAAGATCCACTGGTCCCCAGGCACTAAGTACTGGGCAGTGATGGATGGTAGATGCCATCGCCCATCCCCTTCCTTCACAGCCACACCCTACCCTGTGCTCCCAGAGTCCCCATCAACAGACACTGGGGAAGGACACATCTGAAATGCACGGATGGATGCACACACCTGACATCTCATTACTTGAACCAAACTGCTGGCTAGATATTCTCCAGAGTGCCATGAAATATCACCAACTGGGGGTACATCCCAACTCCAACTTTCCACCCAACCATCAGCCCTGGGCTGAAGCTGTAGCCCCAGAGGAAGCAGAAAGGAGGGTGAGAATTGCCCACTCACAAAACTCTTGCCTGAGGATGCTATCACAGGCTAGTCCTAAAGGGATGCTCCCAGCAAGGCAGCTGGACCTGTGGGGAGTGGACCGCTGTGTGGTACGACACTGGGACTATCACCAGCAGCTCAGGGTCTCTACGTTCCCCTGACAGCCTAGCCCCCAACCTCACTGGACAGGCATGTCCAGGATCCAGGGAGCTCTGATCTCTGGAACTGCTGCCACTCTGTAGCGATGCTACCTTCTCAGGTTGCCTCCTGTCCTAGGAGCCAGTTGGAGACTCCCTGAGGGCAGAACAGTGAGGGAGATGTCCTCGTGTCCGCTGGGCCCACCCCATGCTAGACAAAGATGCTCATGATGGTAACACGGCTGTGGCGACTGTGCTGGAATGTTGAGGTGGTGCCATGCCAGAGACTGGACAGATGTGGCAGAGCCCCGGGTGAACTCAAAATCCATTTCAGGAAAGACGGAAGGATGGAAGGAAGGAAGGAGGGAGAAAAGGATTGTTTTGGCTTGAGGATCGCCAGAAGGATCCAAGCCATCCAACTCTGAAAGTGAGAGTGAAAGGGAGAGTGATTCTTTGTGTCCTTCCCACCTGGGAGAGCAATGGAGGCCCTCTTCGCTCTGGGTCAGGGAAATGGAATGGAGCCTCCAGTTGATGGCAAAGGAGCTATAATTAAAGAAAAACTGCAGAGGGATGATTTGCTGAGGCTCCCAAAGGGAGAGTGTACACTTCATTATCCTCCAGGTCAGCGGTGGGAAATAGCCATGTTTGTTTATTTAGGACTAACGGCCGCTCTGTGGGCTCAGGAAAGCTCTGAGTCCTCATCCCACACTCATTCATTGCCCAGTGAACACTGACAGTCACTCATCTACCAGACACTGGGGCACCCTTCTGAATCACCTAAACATGCAATCATTTGTTTATGAATGCTTGCATTCACTCATCCATTCATTAATGCATTCATTTCACAAAGCTCCACCGAGCACTTCCTATGTGCCAGGAAGCAGAAGTAAGGTTTCTGAGATGGTTCCCCCTGCCCCAGCCTGCTGCCTTCCCTACCTCATTCAAGGCTTCCTCAGGGCCATGGAGACGGTTGTGGAAGAATGTCTGCTCAGGCCCAGGCTTCTCTAGAGAGTTCCTCCCAAACCCTTGAAATTGAGTTACACATCCTCAAAGATGCTATTGGAAAAGTCTGCTGTTCCCTTCCACAAGCCATACTCTCTGGGTGGTCCAACCCCGCTCTGAGTGGCATCAGGGTTTGGGGTTTGACTCTTCATCTGTGAGACAGCTTGTGAGACAGGTATCATGGAAACAGTAGGCCCAGAGGCCTTAGCTCTCCTTTCAGGATGACCCTGCTGTCCCTTGGGGTTGGAGCTGAAATGTCAGTGGCCCTGAGCCAGTGAAGTGGAGGGGATCCTGAGGAAGGGTAGGTTGTGGCTCCTGGCAATTCCATGACCTCTGAAGGGCTTTCATTTCCTCTCTCCTCAGCTCTCTCCGGCCTCACCCGGGTCACCACCCAGAGCTGTTCTACTTCTAATATGTAACCCCAGTTCCCATGCCCAGACCGTAATCACTTCCTCCCAGCTCTTGAACTCCTCCTTTTGCCTTTAGTCCCATTCTTTGATCTTGAGACTTCAGGTCTTTGAATGTCCCATGGGTGCCCCTAACTTGGCATCTCAAAACAAATTCCCCACTTATCCCAAAGTTGCTGCTTCTCCTGCATTCCCTGTTGCAGAGATGGGCAGTTCCACCCAAGTCATGAATTCACCAAGTCATCCTTGATGTCCTCCCATGCTCCATAGCCTGACTCAACGTCTGCCCTGTGTATTCATAGGCAGTGTACTTAACACCACTGGTATTAACTCAGCAAACACTGATTGAAAACCTACTGTGTACATACACTGGGTAAAAGGCTGGGAATGTGGAAATAAACAAAAGACAACATGACCCCTAGAACAGGAATCCAAGCATCTGGTCCCTTTCATGCCCCATCCCATGCCAGGCTTGGCCATGTCGGATCAGGAAGAAGAAACCTCCAATCCCAAGCTCAGAGCAGGGGCAGCTGGGGAACTGACCACAGAACCTCCCCCACCCCGACTCCCACTGGAGCAGGAGTCTGCAGATGTCATGTGACCAGTGGATGCTGTTTCCCTCCTCCCCTCTTCTAAAGGGGAACTGTGCTGCTGCTAGCCTGCATTCCATCCACATTGCTCACTAAGCGCGTATTGGCGAGGGAGTAAATGCATCATTTGGCACTTGGCTGCAGGACCATGAGGAGCTATATCTGGACCAGTTCAAGAGACTGGAGATCCTGGGCTTGGAGCCACTGGATGGGACTGGCTTGGCTGCCCTCTCTGGTGGGGGTGGTGAGAGTATTTTGGGTTGTTGGTGGAATTCTTATGTCAGGCAGGGGCACATGTCACATGACACTGACATCTGTGCTTTACTTCTGTTTCTTTTCCACTAGACGGTGAGCTCTTCCTCACGGGGCTCCCCGCATCTGGCACATAGTAGGTACTCAATAGGTGTTTGCTGCATCAAGGAATAGATTAGTAAATGAATGAATACCTAAATATTGTCCCTGCTCTCAAAGGACCTATAATCAACTGGAGAGAAAACAACAGCAAACAAATGGGACCCTGTGATACATCACGTGACCTTCAGTGCCCCCCCCCGACCCCCACCCGCTGTCTCACAGACCACGAGCCCCCAAGCTCACAATGGCCTGAGGCACTCTCTGGGCAGGTGTCACCTTGCTGAGCTTGCTTTCACTATTGCCCCTTATGTGCTCTGCTCCAGCCACACTTTCTTTCTGTGGAAGGCTCTTCTGTGTGGCTTTCTCCTTCACCTCCTGCAGAGCCCTGCTCAAACCTCGCCTCCTCTGTGAGCCTTCCCCCACCACCATATGTAACTCTATGATCCCAACCCGACCCTCACATTCCCTGCCCTCTTGCACTGTTTTACTTCTCCTATGGCACTCATCGCAATCTCACAGTCTGTATGTGCTTGACTTACTTATTTTAGGTTTTTGGCTACTTCTCCTGATAAGATTATAAGCTTCACCAGGGCAGGGGTTTTCTGTTTTGTCCAGTGCTGAATCCCAAAGCCCAGAGCAGAACCTTGGTGATTGTAGGCACTCAAAAACAATAGCTACTGAATACATTTGTGATCTCAAGCCTCTCCTTCCTCCTTTCCCCACCTGCACCCTTGGCCAAACACAACACTTGAAACTGAGGTGGGCCAACCTGACATAGGGTAGTTTTTGCCCGTCTTAGAGATCTTCTTCCTCATTCATAGGCTCCTGGAAGGACTGTCATTCGCTGTCCCCTGCCCCACCAACACCCCAAGCACCACCACAAGGGTGAGCACAAGACCCTGGCTAGGCCAATCTTATTGCTGCACCTCTAGACACAGTGATTGGTTCAGGAGTGGTCATTTGATTTGATCTGGGCCAATCAGAATCTTCCCTGAGACTTTTCTATACAATGAACTTTTTTTTGCCAGCACTGCCAAGCGTGCAAAATGAGAATCTTCTTGTCCATCACATGGAGAAACCTTGTCTGAAAAATTAACCAAGAAGAAACAATCAGAATCAGGAGATGTAAAGTATCTATCTACCTACCTACCTACATATTTTTTTTAAAAAAAACTAATTTGAGTTGGATGTTCTTCTCTAGTGACCAAAAGTTCAGAGATATCAGTCCTTCAGTTATTTCAATAAATAGAAAATCATTCTCCACAAGTAAA